AATCTTTGAGTCCTGCGTTCCTGAACAATTTTAACCCTCCCCCCCCCTGTGCTCCGAAGTCAAAATTCGCAAATAATTGGTATGTAATGTTTCACGGTAGATATAAAAACAGTTACAAGTGTTAACCCACCGTTCAACCGGTGGCTGGGCATTAAGTCATTTTTCTCCACCACCGTTCAACCGGTGACTGGGCATTAAGGCACTTTTCTCCACCACCGTTCAACCGGTGACTGGGCATTAAGGCATTTTTCTCCACCACCGTTCAACCGGTGACTGGGCATTAAGGCATTTTTCTCCACCACCGTTCAACCGGTGACTGGGCATTAAGGCACTTTTCTCCACCACCGTTCAACCGGTGACAGGGCATTAAGTCATTTTTCTCCACCACCGTTCGACCGGTGACTGGGCATTAAGGCACTTTTCTCCACCACCGTTCAACCGGTGACTGGGCATTAAGGCATTTTTCTCCACAACCGTTCAACCGGTGACTGGGCATTAAGTCATTTTTCTCTCCCACCGTTCAACCGGTCACTGGGCATTAAGTCATTTTTCTCTACCACCGTTCAACCGGTCACTGGGCATTAAGTTTTTTTTTCTCTACCACCGTTCAACCGGTGGCTGGGCAGTACATCATTTTTTCTCTACTACCAGTAAAGCGGTGGACGGCGCTCAAAAGGTTAATAGTCAGTTGTGCTTGGTTTAATTTGTAACGAATATAAATGTAGGTAGAAAAACCTTGATTGTGAGGGTCACAAAGCACTGCCCGTCGTCCCCAATCAGGCTTGCCCCTCACTACCGGTTGGCCGTTTCTGGGGTAGTACGCTCTGCACCTGAGCAACGGTACAGGCTCAAGTCAACTGAAAATTAAATAATGCCATGGATACTATAACAGAATTTCCCTTGGGATCAAAATGGAGTTCTCGACTTGTTCAGCCACTCCCTTTTCATTTAATTATCGATGAGTCCAATGACGTACCATTATTTCGCAATGGGACGAAAACGCAAAACTGAGGATTCAGTTGAAATTCTTAAAATAAGTTTATAGATAAGACCTCCACCAGGAAGTCTTGAACAATCTCACACCCAACGCAGATAAAATGTAAGGTTCAGATTACGGACGAGTGGGGCGAGGCCGGACCAGCACCTTAGACTGGCTCAGAGCAACTGACGGAATATTGGAGACCCATATCAATCAGTGTGGTTGTCTTACACGAAAGTTGTCTTCGCGTGATCTGTGGCTATACTTTGGGACGACAGTGTATCCAATGTTGATCTTCTCGCAAATTACCACATTTTTTCTTTTCGCTATCTCTCCTAATCCCTGTTCTGCCCAATACTTGTACAAGCTCCTCCTCCTCCTCCTCCCCGCCTCCTCCTTCTATGGGCCATGACCTTTCTGGACGTGGGCGATCATGGTTCTCCCCATTTTCTTGTCCTTAGAACCACTTAGTATTTTTTTCTTTTCGCTATCTCTCCTAATCCCTGTTCTGCCCAATATTTGTACAAGCTCCTCCCCCTCCTACTCCTCCCCGCCTCCTCCTTCTTCTACGGGCCATGACCTTTCTGGACGTGGGCGATCATGGCTCTCCCCATTTTCTTGTCCTTAGAACCACTTAGTATTTTTTTTCTTTTCGCTATCTCTCCTAATCCCAGTAATGCCCAATATTTGTACAAGCTCCTCCTCCTCCTCCTCCTCCCCCTCTTTCTTCTTCTTCTATGGACCATAAACTTTCTGGACGTGGGCGATCATGGCTCTCCCCATTTTCTTGTCCTTAGAACCACTTAGTATTTTTTTCTTTTCGCTATCTCTCCTAATCCCTGTTCTGCCCAATATTTGTACAAGGTCCTCCTCCTGCTCCTCCTTCTTCTTCTTCTATGGGCCATGTCCTTTCAGGACGTGGGCGATCATAGCTCTCTCCATTTTCTTGTCCTTAGAATCACTTAGTATTTTTTTTCTTTTTTGCTATCTCCCCTAATCCCTGTTCTGCCCAATATTTGTACAAGCTCTTCCTCCTCCTCCCCATCCTCCTCTTTCTTCTTCTTCTATGGACCATGTCCTTTCAGGACGTGGGAGATCATGGCTCTCCCCATTTTCTTTTCTTAGAACCACGTAGTATTTTTTTCTTTTCGCTATCTTTCCTAATCTCTTTTCTGCCGAATATTTGCACAAGCTCCCACCCTCCTCCTCCCCCTCCTCCTCTTTCTTATTCTTCTTTTTCTATGGTCGGTGACCTTTCAAGACGTGTGCGATCATGGCTCTCCATTTGAGACTCTTCTGATGCAGTTACAACTTCGCTGAGCTGCTTATGTTGCAAAGATCAGTGACGACAGATTACCTAATATCCTCATGTATAGCTAGCTTGACAGTGGACAAAAGATTGTTGGACGGCCGTGGATCAGGTGTAAAGACAAGCTAAAGAGTAACATCGCAGCTGTCAATGTGCCTAAAACTGCGAGCGAGTTGCCCTGGATAGAAAACTGGAGGTATTTGCGCCAGAGT